CTAGAGGGAACACTGGCTGAGAGACTCAGTGCTCATCTCTGTCTTGGCTAACAGAAAGCTCAGCCAGCTTCCCCCGCTCTTAATGCTGGTCCTTTGAGTCAGAGGAGGGAAGGACTGTAGCCTCCTTGTGCATTTGGCTCAGAACTGTCTCTGGATGAGGAGCACTATGGTGAGGGTATGCAGGGCAGGGTAAAACAGTTACACGGTAAAAGGTGCCCTGCGAGATCAGACCAGTGGTCTATCTAGTTTAACACCCTGTCTCACGTAGTGCCCAACCAGTTACTCTGGCCAACAAATATGGCACCGATGCCGCGGCCTTCTCCTGATGCTACCTCCTAGCGCTGGTATGAGAAGAGCCCAGGGAGAGCATCTGCTCTTTCCACTGCAACAGCGCACAAGAGCCACAGTTCAGAGGGAAAGGACTTGAGTTGCATGCAGAAATTTCCAGGACGAATCCACATTTCCAGTTGCAAGTGAATCTGCCTGGGACAGCTGCCACCGATCTAGGATATTGGGCTGGGTGGACCAGCACGTAGACTGACTCAGCAGAAAGCAAGCTTGTGGGCGTTGAGATGAAAGAGCTGCTTGCGGCTAGGAGCGCCTTGTGTGATCCCTGGTGCTAGATTGTGCCAAAGAACAGGAGAAGCTGCAGTAGCAGCTGGGCTGGCAGCCAACAATTTGGAGAAAACTTATGGGTACGCTGCGGGATCTATTCTGTGTCCAAACAACACAGCAACCATCTAAGTGCAAGGTGTCCAATATCGCTGAATTGAAAATTAGTTCTTACAAAAATTATATAACGCTAAATAAAATCGAACTGAAATCAAAATATTAAAGTCCATTAGTCATTACCATGCCTTTGCCCTCACTGACCAGAACTACGCGGGTCAAGTGCCCGCTTCACGTGGGCAACCTCTTGCAAACAGGCCCCGGCCACTTGCTTCACCTCTCAGGCCAGCAGGAGAAACAGTGCAGGCAGGGAGTGGAAATGACGTTGGGCTGTGTGCCCGCTTCATGTCCAGGCAAAAGTCCAGTATGACGTTGGACGACACTCTAGAAACTCTGTGGTAATACCATAGAGTTTCTAGAGCATCAGCCAACATGCCAATGTCACATCCAAGTTTTCTCCCACAGGTGATGTCAGCACGTAGCCCAATGTCATTTCCACTCTTGGCCACCCAGTATCCCTATCCAGAACACCAAAAGAAAGTGCAGCAGTTATTCTGTTTGAGTGTTCAAAGTACACACATTGTAATCCTTACAACAATCCTGTAAGGTAGGCTGGTGTTATTACACAGAAGGGGTAGAAGTGCAGAACATCATGGCTTGTAGCTGCCAGCCCAAACAACAGGGTCCCTGGCAGTAGCAGCTTGACTCACAGGGGACAAACCCAGTGCCAACAGCCACAAACTACTGACGAAGGCTTGGATCTTACACAGCGCAAGCTACAGACATGCTACAGAGAGCTACCTCTCCTGCCTTCTCCCTCCCACTGAAGGCTTCTGTGCTGTTCAGAACTGTGCTCCTGGAGCCCAGAGAACCCACAGAAACAGCACAGGGAAGGGAAGTCTGAAGTGGAAACAGGGAACTGGCCAAAATTACACGTTCTACCTCCTAATCCTCTCCTCTTCCACCAATGGATATATTTATTCGTATCTTACTTATCCCCCCAATAGGGCCCCAGGAAGGCTTACAACCAGGCAAAAGACTCCCTCTAAGCTATGGAGTCTTGTGAGGAAAAATTCTACTTTGTGAGCTGCTGGCATTAGAGTTGTGAGCGAGCGATTTGGCTACTGCATAAATAACGAAGCCTCCACTTCAGGGTGCCTGTTAGGTTAGTCACTTCCCCCACTGTATGTGTGTGTGGCCTTAGGTAGGAATTGTATCAAATGTATAATGTAGACCGCTCAGAGCCCTTAGGGGGTGAGCGGTATATAAATAGAAGGAAATAAATAAATAAATAAATAAATAAATAAATTAGTTTGCTTTGGAGCCATCCCTCCTGAGCTAAGCCAAAAATGCGTGAGACTGGCCCAAAGGTATCCCAGACAGCTTCCACGGCAGAGGTGGGGACTGGAACCTGGGTCTTTCAGATGCCATTCTGACATTTTAACGGCTGTAAAACACTGTTTCATCGGTGGAACTGCTGCTCTGCTCCTGTAAGAGCAACTCCAGATCCAAGCCTATGTCTGTTCATGTCAACAGCCTTTCGACTTGCCCGGAATCCTCACCAACTTTCCAACCATGCAACCACAAAAGCACTCACCTCTGAATCTGCTGGATACACGGCATCACAAACACTCGGCCTCCAGCTATCATGACCGGGGGGCTGCGGCAGAAACCTGAGGAAAGCACCTGGGAATTACTATAGCACACCAACATCTTTGAAACATTGCTTCCTACAGAGGTACAAGGCTGAACCAGACATGACGTCATCCCCAAGTCCAACAAGGGAAAGCTGCTGCCATTTTAAAGCAATTTAATGATGTTCCGAGAGCCCGGTCAGGATTGGGCCTGCAGCATGACATGCTGCAGCACTCTTGTTTCTCCCACACACAGACACGCTTGCCTTTTCAAGCGCAAAAACAGCTGTGCTGGAGGGTGCAGTCATTTCAGCACTTGAAACAAGAGCTCCTCAACCTGCCATTATGCTTCTGTGGCATTTTTAAATCCTTTTAAAGTGATGGTGGCATCCAGGGGTCCAACCCATGTGGAGAGGCAAGCTCGTCCGACCAGGGAAGCATATTATTCGTCAAAATCTTGGGCAAGAGGGAGAGACGAGGCGAAAAAACAGAAAACCCGTAACAGTCTCTTTCACTCGTTCTGTTTTACCACACGCTATACACAAGTGCCATTTTAGAGCCAGTTTGGTGTAGTGGTTTAGGAGTGGCGGACCCTAATCTGGAGAAGAAGGTTTGATCCCTCACTCCTCCTCCATGTGAAGGCTGCTGGGTGACCCTGGGTCAGTCACAGTTCTCTCAGAGCTCTCTCAGCCCCACCTACCTCACAGGGTGTATGTTGTGGGGAGAGGAATGGAAGGCAATTGTAAGCCACTCTGATACTCCTTTGGGTAATAAAGAGTGGGGTATAGAAACCAACACTTCTTCTTCAACTGAAAGAGGCCGCCTGTGTATTTTCAGCCTTGGTACACACATACCAGGGCCATGATTTGCCAGGGTTCTGGTTCAGGTGTACTGAAGCTGAAAATACACACGTTCCTCCCTTCTGGCAAAACAGCAATTGTGCATATCAGGAGGACTGCATATCGTACGTTCTCCTTATACACGTGGTAAAACATAACCAACAAGAGCTAATATGAGTTATTATTAGATAGAATGGCTGCGATAAAGTCCTTCCTGCGATGCTACTGATAGAAGCTGTGATTCGATGCAAAGAAAGGGGACTGCTTGCTTTGCAGAAGTTATGTATGCACTGATGTTTTGGGGCCTGTACCTCCAAGGAGTGCCTTCTCCAATGCGAGACTCTGTGTTTAAACAGGGTGGACAAACAGACCCTGGCCAACATCTGATCCAGGCCTGACTAGCTCATATTCTGCTTGGGACAGCATTCTGGAAAACGACTGCCTTTGCAAGAGTGCCAAATCTGAGCTATCTTTGGGTCAAATGTAGCACCCACACTCCCAAAAAAGGGGCATAATAATAAAGGGAGCTATTAGAAAGTCGAGCTCAGTTCCTGCCACGGCAAAGAGCCATTTCCGATGGCCTGAGCGGGCAAGTCTGATACACTGCTGCAAGATGTACACAGGACAAAAGGATGCACTGTGCATTGCCAGGAATCACAGAGGACAGGAAGCGCCAGAATGCTGTCCTTCCTGGCCGTTCCTCCGCCCCATCTGCAACCTTCTAAAAGGGATCAGCTCAACTTGGAGTCATCTGCTCAACTGAGGCATCCCCCCTCCCAATATTAGCAGAAGGAAATGAAGACCAAGAGTAACACATACCTGAGACAACCATGGCCTCATTGGGGCCACAGGTAAAGAACATCTTGGTGCCTGGAGGTTCTGCAAAGGGGAAGGAAAGACGGATATTAGAGCCTGGGCAAGCAGTTTCTCTCTTCTGCCACATTACCCTACACTCTCCCCTCCTATTACCTCCTCTCATTTTTGAACCTGAACATCAGTTCTTAGCACAGAACATGAACCTGAGCCTGACATGAAAACTGGCTTGGTTCTTGTTTCTGAACAAGCTCTGCTCTGACTCCATCAGAAAAAGACACAAACACACAAAACTGCCTTATACTGAATCAAACCCTTGGCCCGTCAAAGTCAGTACTGTCTATTCAAATTGGCAGCAGGCCTCTAAGCTCTCAGGTAGGGTCTTTCACCTCACCTCACCTCCTACTTGATCCTTTTAAGTAGAGCTGCCAGGGATTGAACCTGGGATCGTCTTTGTGCAAAGCGGATGCTCTACCAGAGCCATGGCCCCTCGCCAAAAACACAGAACACTTCGTGAATTTGCGTGAACTGCATCACTGTTTCTGAGTGAAGTGCCACAAAGTCCAATGGTGTTCAAACTCTATTTGTTCCAGCTAATCTCAAGGTGCCTTTGAAGCAGACTCCGGTTTCTCAGGGAGGACATTACTAATGACAGACCAATGAACTCTGAAATACAGGGAGACCTATGAATGCTGCTCAGAGCTCCTTGGAAGAGGGATGGGACCCGTGTTCCCTCTAAGCTGAATTAGTGTGAGCTAGCTCACAGTTTTTTAGCCTCTGGCTCACATATTTTTGTCTTCGCTCAGGAAGGAGGGCTCCAGAGCAAACTACTTTATGCAGTAGCCAAATCGCTCGCTCGCAACTTTAATGCCAGTCGCTCACAAAGGAGAATTTTTGCTCACAAGACCCCGCAGCTTACAGGGAGTCCTGGATGGGACTAATATATAACAATTTTTATTTGGCTCACTAATTAAACTGTTTTTTCTGTCCACTATGGGCATCCATGATTATTTTTTTTAAAAAGTCACCAGATGAGATTATTAAGGGCGGTAAAATGAAAACACTACAGATAAAAAGTAAAAGTATTCATAAGACATTGTTGAGAGACCTTCTGAAATAGAAATGTTGTTAATCTGCTCTTGAAGGTCTGAAGAGATGGTGGAAGTTTCAACTCTTGGGGGGGAGTGGAACAATTTTGGGGTTGCTGCTGAAGGGCTCTTCCCTCAAGGCCCTGCCAACCTACCAAAGCAGGTTCTTTCAGGAAAGTCCCATCCATTGATCCCAAGGCTTGCAGTAGAGGCAGTCCTTCAGAGACCTTGGGCGGAAGCTTTAGGGCTTTACGCTTCCCTTCATCTTCCCACAGGAAAGTGTGGGTGATGTTTGAAGGAAAACACACACCCCCTCCATTTTCCATGATAGGGTAACCATGAGGTCCAATATTTTTTTAATCTCTCTGTTCTCATGGTCCTTCCTCTCCAATTTAACCTACCTTGACAGAATTGCTATGAAGAAAAGAAAACCGGCCCATGGTTACCTAGTAGATTTCATCACTGAGCTAGGATTTGAATCTGGGTCTCCCAGGCTCTAATCCACTCTACCCAGGAACAGACTTGAGCCCAGTATTTTTTCCCCTTATCTTTTTAAACAGTTCTGACCACAGGGCTAGCGCTTCCATATGTCAGGATGTGCCAGGCCCACGAGGACAGAGCTTGTGCCCCCAGTCCCTAACAGGCTAGCGCACTCGCCTCCGCTCAACCCCAAAACTGTGTCGCTCCTCTTTTCACAAAAGCCATATGCGCAAAAAAGCTGCAGTGAACTAAGCATCCCGCCCAAGGCCAAACATGCCCCACAATCCTCTACAAAGGTGTAGGAGTTGTCTGGCAGACAGCATTTCTCTAGCGACCCAGGCAATGTGGAAAGTGCTCTTTGCCTGTATAAGGCTTCTGTGGCCTAGCCCACGTTTCCTTTCCAACTAGGGCTGCCGGATGTGTTTGGGAAAGTACAGGCAGGCCATAATGGAGTCGTCCCTTGTGTAACCACAGCAATACTACCATTGAATATGGGGACGGGGACGGTGCTCTAGTTTCCTCATCTGTGACGGCGGTTCAACAGCCACTCCGTGCCTCGGTGCATGTTCCTTAAACGCATGTGCCTTGTAGGAGACAACACGCTTTCCCCCCCACGAGAATACAAGGCTCCTCCCGAGCAACAAGCAACTCCGAGCACCTCCTTTGGGCTGCTTATTTCCTCCGGGTGTGAACAAATCTCTCGGCAGACGTTCACTTTTCCTGTCGCCTCCGTTAGCTGCGAGAGACAGCGCCCGGCCTTTCCAAGGGTATAATTAGCCTGTCTCTTGCAAACGGCGGCGAGCGCGCAGAGGCCGTTTATCAAACGCCCGGATTACGGGATTAGCCGGGGCGAGGGCTCAATGAGGACTAGCGGGTTAACGCAATACAAGGCTATAGGGCGGAGGAAGCAGAGCAGCCTGGAAACCAGGGCGCTTCTATTCTCCAAGGGAGTCAGCTGGCAGCCAAGATGCCTGGATTCTTCGAGATAAACAGTAACATGTTTGTTTTTTTTGCTTTATTTGCGAAGGGGAAAAGGTGCAAGGGCGAAGAGGTCTGTGTTTGCGCCCCACCGGGCAATCCGCAAAGTATGCCTCCCCCCACCCACCACCACCACCATCCTGGTAAAACACGGTACCCCCCTTCTCACTCACCCCTGGGATGACCGAGGCTCCCGCTGCACCTAAAATTTCAAGCGACTTCGTTTTTGCTTCTTCCTGTTCCAAACAGGCACACCCTTCCTGGCTCTGACACCGCCGCTTTCCCATCAGGCCTCGGCGAGAGACCTTTCCCAGTCGCCCCTCATGGCACCGAAATGTAAACAAGCCGTCGCGGATGGGATCTGCCGCCACCTGCTGGCTGGCAACCCACCCAGGAACTCTCCGCAAAGGACCACCCACATACACACCCCAGAAATTATAGCCTTCGAATTAAATGAATGGTTTTATGGCTTTCAGTGGCCGCTCTTTAAGGCTCTTGTGTGCAGATTGGGCCTCTGTGACGGCTGAAGTTCCCTTTTACAGGACTCCAGAGACCCGAGTCTGCTTCAGAGGCCCAAAACCTGCCTGGGGGCATACCTGCTGCTCTTGACAGGAATATTCAGAACTCTTCTGGCACCTTAAAGATCAACACAATTTTCTTCTTGCGTCAACTTCCGTGGTGGACTGCAGCCCAGTAGGATCCAGCCTATGAAATCTTAAAGTGGAATAAATAATTTGTTAATCTTTAACTTGGTCAGCCGTGTTGGTCTGAAGCAGTTGCAGAAATACAATTGAAAAAGTGTGCATGCACAGGAAAGCTCATGCCTTGAATAAAACTTGGTTGATCTTAAAGGTGCCGCCGGACTCTCAATTTGTCCTACTGCTAGAGACTGAAGGCCAACTTTGCAACTGATCCCCAGACAACAGAGATCAGTCCCCTCTGAGAACAAGGCTGCTTCAGGGGGTAGACTCTATGGCAGGGGTGGCCAAATTTTAATGTAAGAGCCACATAGAATAAACATCAGATGTTTGAGAGCTGCAAGACATGAACAAATATTACACACATTTTAATTGGAAAATATGCAAATTTGCTTGTTATTAACATTAAATGAGACTACCAAAAACAAAAGGGGTTAAAAACAGATTTTGATAATGATATTTATTTATTCAATTATATTTGTAGGTGGGAATGCATCTAAAGTTAAAGTGGCTTTCTTTCTCTGCTCCCCCCCCCCCTCAAGCCTACCCCAGGAGGGGAACACTGGCTGGGGAAGGGAAGACCGATTGGGGAGGTATGCCTTCCCTTCGCTTCCGCAGCCGCCTTACCGGGCGCCACACAATATGTGTGAAAGAGCCGCACGTAGCTCCTGAGCCACAGTTTGGCCACCTCTGCTCTATGGCATGGGTGCCCAACCTTTTTGAGCCTGCAGGCACCTTTGGCGTTTCTGACACAGGGCACAAATGGCAGCCAGCCACAAAATGCTATAGCTTCTTTTCAGTCACACAGTGAAGATCCTTGTGCTGCGCCTGCAGTAGCAGCTGCAGCCCAAACCACGTTGTTTAAAAATCTGAACTGCCAATCAAATTTCCAATGACCAATCAGAAGCCTTGCTGGGCAATAGCCCCATTTGCCCCCACCCACTGTCTAAAAACATTTGGCGGGCACCAGGAAAGGTGTTGGCAGGCATATTGGGGACCCCTGCTCTGTGCCATTGTACCTTGCTGAGAGCCTCCACTCCCTGAACCTCCCCTTCTGTAGCCCCCCCCCCACAAATTTGCAACCCAGTGCAAGCAACCCTACTGAAGAAACCTGCTTATTTTTTTTGCTGCAACAGACTAACATTAGTTTCTTCTGTTCAGCCCTGACCTGGATAGCCCAGGCAAGCCTGATCTCATCAGATCTCGGAAACTAAGCAGGGCTGACCCTGGCAAGCATTTGGATGGGAGACCTCCGAGGAATACCAGGGCCCTAACACAGAGGCAGGCAGCATCTGAACGTCCTTGCCTCCCAGCCCCACTAGGGGTTGCCAGAAGTCATCCATGACTTCCAGGCACACACACAAATACAAAAATAGTTTCTTCTGTTCACCTACTAGGGTTGCCAACCAATGCTCCCTCTAAGCTGTGGAGTCCTGTGAGCAAAAATTGTACTTCGTAAGCTACTGGCATTAAAGTTGTGAGTGAGCAATTTGGCTACTGCATCAATTAGTTTGCTCTGGAGTCATCCTTCCTGAGCTAAGACAAAAATATATAGTTAGTGTGAGCTAGCTCACTTATATATAAAAATATTTTATGATGTGTTTTTATACTACCCTGTCTTCAGTTGTTAGCTGCATTGGTGACCCTGAATGGGCTGAAAGGCAGGACAGATATCTTCTAAATAAAGAAATAATAAATAAATAAGGGAGTAGGTTAGCCAATTCTGGACCACCTCATTGTCACATTATGAAAGAATCAGGAAATGACAGAACCCCATTCTGCCTTTTTGCTTAGAGATGTGAGGTTCTGAGGTAAAAAGAACAGACATTGGACTGGGGGAAAACACTGTGGTTTGGATCCCACCTACAGTTTACCTTGTTTAAGGAAGCAGACCTGGATAAAGACTGTGTTTGCTAAGTGATGTAATACCACCGTCACTGGGGTGTATGTGAGGGAGATGGTTATAAATTTCCTACATTGTGCCAGGGGGTTGGACTAGATGACCCTGGAGATCCCTTCCAACTCTATGATTGTATGTGGCTTGAATTGACTGTATTACCTTGTGCAACACCTCAGGTTTATTTCGAAAATTGTTAATAGAGAATATAAAGGTGCTTGCTGTGTCTCTCAGCCTGCAATGGGATCTCTGCTTCTTGTTTGGGAAGGTTGATTTTGCCTGGTTTCTGTACTTCAGTGGAAGAACAAAGGATGGAGACTGACGGAACAAAGCATTCCAGAGAACATTCCATAACTCTGCAGTGCAGCAATAAAGTTTACAGCCTGCCAGCATCTTACTGAGGAAGCCGGGAAGCTCAGACCTCAAGCGTTCTGCTTTCTACCCTGGTAACATCAAGTCTGACAAAGAGTCCTGGTGGGCTCAAAAGCTTACACAGTGTTTTGTGCTAATTTGGTGAGTCCAAGAAAAGGTGTTGCCTTGACCTGGATGGCCCAGGTTAGCAGAGTCTTGTCAGATCTCATCAGCCAAGCAGGGTCAGCTTTGATTAGTACTTGGATGGGAGACTGCCGGGGAAGTCCAGGGTTGCTGTGCAGAGGCAGGCAAAGGCAAACCACCTCTTTTCCTTTCCTGCCTTGATCCTCTAGAATCACCATGTCAGCTGTGACTTTATGGCACTTTACACACACTGCGGTGTGCTCAAGTGGTTAAGACGCTGAACTGCAGGCTGTGGAAGGTCAGTAGTTCAGCAGTTCAAGACCCGGGTTCCGCAAGACGGAGTGAGCTCCCGTCTCTAGTTCCAGCTCCTGCCAACCTAGCAGTTCGAAAGCAAGAAATTGCAAGTAGATAAATAGGTACCACTTCGGTGGGAAGGTAACAGCGTTCCGTGCGCCTTGGTGTTTAGTCATGCCGGCCACATGACCACGGAAATGTCTTCTGACAGCGCTGGCTCTTCGGCTTTGAAACGGAGATGAGCACCGCAACCCTAGAGTCGGATTCGACTGGCTTTCGAGCAAGGGAACCTTTACCTTTACCTTACACACACGATAAAAGTTATTACGTGGATTTTGGTCTTGTTTTCAAAAGGGGCAACATGGCTTTTGCTTTTCGGGTTTTTCTTGGGACCGGCATGGCTACCTGGGACCTTTTAAAATAGCTGTTCTAGTTGTGTCTTTAGTAGCCACTGGAGCTACATCACTCCCTTCCCCTTGCCAGTCAACAACGCTGTGTTAATATCACCAGCTCTGCTTTGTGAGAAAAGGTCTAATGCACCAAAGCCAGGCATTTCCCTAATGAGCGCCTCTTCCACTCCACATTCTTCTTGTTTAAACATTAACGGAGCCAAACATTCCCCTCTACATCCTGTCTCGTGGGGACTGGGTTATATCAGTCTGCAAGAGTCCCAAGCAGGCTTGCTCAAAAACAGCTGAAACATATCCACCACCCCCATGAAATCTGGAGGCACTCTCCATAAGGCTTATTGGAGAGCCAGTTTGGTATAGTGGTTAGGAGCATGACTCTAATCCGGGAGAACGGGGTTTGATTCCTCACTGCTCCACATGCAGCTGCTGGTGCGACCTTGGGCCAGTTACATGTTCTTTCAGAGATGTTCTCTCAAGAGCAGTCCTCTAAAGAGCTCTCTCAGCCCCACCTACCTAACAGGCAATGCTCCCTCTAAGCTGTGAAGTCTTGTGAGCAAAAATTCTACTTTGTGAGCAAGTGATTTGGTTGCTGCATAAATTAGTTTGCTCTGGAGCCATCCTTCCTGAGCTAAATCAAAAATGTATGAGTCAGAAGCTAAAAAACTGTGAGCTAGCACACGCTAACTCAGCTTAGAGGGAACACTGCTCACAGGGTGCCTGTTGTGGGGAGGGGAAGGGAAAGGAGATTGTAAACCTCTCTAAGACTCCTTTGGGTAGTGAAGTGCGGGGTATAAATCCAATCTCTTCTCTTCTCACTTTTAAGGCTCAACTACAGATTGGATGGGAGATCAATGACTGGATCTCCTGATGTTTTGTTTTTTGCCTTTAAAAGCAACTATGGGAGAACGGGAGGGGTGATTTGTGATACTGGGGAACTGGAATGGGAGGAAGGTTACCTGTTTCCATCTAGTGATGATTCTCCATGTAGCTCTCATGACTACTGCAAATGCAGAGGAATTTGTGTGGTAACGGAGCCCCAGTACAACTGTTTCCCTCACACTTTCCTTGTGGCAGTACTCTGCGGCTGCTGTTTCCCCTAGTGCCACTGGAAGTCTTTGGGGGGGCTTAACAAAAATACATATAGAACTATAATATGGCAGGAACTTTAAAAATGTGTACTTCCCCACACAGGTGACCTGCTAACATATCTGGGCTGCAACTGGAAGGATTGTACCACTCCAGAAAATCAGTGCACAGAGGTTGTGGAAAACCTGGAAAGTGGTTGATTAGAGGACAATGTTGTGTGGACGCTGCAACAAACCAGAAGAAAACCTGCCGTGTTTGGAAGCCAAAGTGGAGGGGGGAAATTCTGCTTGGATGCATGCAGCCATAGTAAAACCGATGTGTGGTAATAATCAAATAATACTTAGCATTTATATAGAACTTTGGAGACTTAAACAGTTAATTTACACTGTCACTGGTAATTCAACCTGGAGAAAAAATATCCTGGCTGCTTCATAGAGG